AGCTCTTTTTCCTCCCATTTTTCAGTTGAAGTAAAAAACTCAGAGAAGTCGATTGACTTTCCCAAGATCAAGAAGCTAATTCACAACAGCCATAGCACCGCACCCAGATCCCCTAGGGCCTCCTTAGAGGGTTTACTCCTGGGATGTAGCATCAAGGGACTGTGCCCTCTGTCTAATCCCGAGTAACTCCCCAACTTCAGCTCTTTCTTTGTCCCTTGGCAAATTACATCTCTTGCCCATGAAATTCTGGGAGTTTGTAACAGTCAGGGTTAGTATTGCTAGTTGTCATAACAAACAAACCCCTCATTTCAGTGACTTAATGTGAAGGTCGATTTCTTGCCTATGGCACAGTGCACTGTGGGCCAGTGGGAGTAGGGAGCTCCGTGCAGTCATTCAGGGCTCTAGGTTCCTACCATCTTGACTCAGCCTCTCTAGTGTCTCAGAGTCCTCTCCTGACTCCTGAGCAACTGGCCGTCCGGTGAGGAAAGGGAAGACGTAGAAGGTACACTGCTCTAAACCACCTCAGTCCAGAGGGAACAGACCTCACTGCCATTCACATTTCACTGGCAAAAACTAGTCATGGGGCCGCAGCTAAATGCAGGGGACTGGGAAATGTGGTCTAATCATCTGCAAAGAGAGGAGATAACCAGATCCTGGTGACCAATGAGCCGTCTCTGCCCCAGGGGTGGGCAGATTCTGGGATCCCCATCAGCCACAGAAGAGTGCAGAAGCTGGGACTCCTGGGTTACCCCCCTTGTCTGCAGCCTGGGCCCACACTCCCTGAGCTCTGTTCCTCCTCCCTCCACCCAGGAAGAGAACCAGTCCCTGCCAACCCTCCTCAGAGGGTGGGTGGTTGGTGAGATAATGATCTTACCATGCTTATTGCCTCTTGGAAGGCAGGTGCTGGAGAAAAACCAAGTCCGCTTTGATTTTTCTCCCTGTTCCCTTCACATTCCTTCCCAGGATAAATTTAGCCAGCCCTCACTTTGAACGGCAGTGCCCAGGATACGACTTTTTGTTCTCCAAGTTGATGTCACTGTCAGAGCCGTTTTCATGGTTGCAGCTTTTGGCCAGCAGTGAAGATTTCAGGATCGCAGGCCCAGCCTCTGCCCTAGCCAAACATCTGTGACCTACCCTCTCGCCCCTGCCCACTTCCCATGGGCATGAGAAGCCAAATCTCTGAGACAAGGGCCTTGAATTCTCCAGTGATGTGAGACAGAACACAGTATTTAGAAGGCTTTGAGATCTCGCACAAGAGCTGCGTTATCCTTAACAGCCTCCAAGAGCTCAGAGGCAGGACGGCTCAAGGGACATGAGCGTGAACTTTGGAGGCATCAGTATGGATTAGAATCCCAGCTCTGGCAAGTTACCTTCTCACCTGTTTCCTCATCTGTACGATGGGTCAACAACAGTGTAGTCTTCATGAGATTAGTGGAGATGCTTATATTAAGGAACCACCTATATTGCTGGTGCTCTATAAACAGTGGGCATGGAGACAGTGATGGTCTGTACTTACCTTCAGAACAATCTGAAAGCCACAGTAAGGACTTCCTGGAGCCTTCTGCCCATTCCAGATAATTCTTTTGCAAACTTCTTTAAAATATCCTGAGAGTTCTCCTTGAAGAATTTATGTTCTTAGACCCTGTCGTCTTTGTGGAAATGACGTCCTCTCTTGTGTCCATCCTATTATTCTCCTTTTGCTGCACCTTGAATTCGTTCTGTTTTGCCTTGGTTGTGAGGCTATCTTCCTCCACCACCTAGACTTGAACTTAGCATCATTTAAAAGCTGGTTTAGCCCCTCCCCTCTTTCCCTGACCTCCAAGCCCTCTTCCAGCTAAGTGGTTGCACTTCTTTCTGCTGCCTTCTCAGGGTCACTCATTCTTACTCTGGGTCTTACTCTTTCTTGGGATCCTCTTGCCTCCCCTGCCTCTCCCTCAGCTGCAGAGCCCAAAAGGAAACACCTTCCCAGGTCAGGCTCCCCTGGAAACCAATTTTTCACTGAGTCGTTCTCAGCCTTACTGGAGCAACAGGTGCATCACTCAGGCACACCAGCTCTGCTCATGCCCACGCACAGGCAGAGAGAAAATGTGTCACCCATTCTCCTGTGCTCCCTCCTGACCCAGATAAAGCTCTCTAGGACTGAACTTGCTCCTCTGTAAAGTGGGAGTGGTCAGGGTAGGTGTCCTGAGGGGAAACAGTGGGTGGCCTCACAGGGGTGATTGAATAAAGAGACTGTACACAAAGGTGCATTCGAGGTAAAGGGAGGGGAACTAACCAGGCCAGTGAAGGGCCTCTGTGCTGGCAATGAGGCCAAGCTGCTACCACCTAGGCTGGCGGGAGCGAGGAGAGGAGCATTTCCCAGAACCTGAAAAAATGCCCAGGCTGCCCAGCCACCTCAGTGCCCTGGTCTTTCTTTTTCCCTGCCCTCTGATCTCCTGTCAGTGCCTTCCATTGGCCGAACCCACCTGGAAATGGAGGCCAAAGCAGTCTTTGCAGACCAGGCTCTCAGGGCCCAGAACTGGGCACAGAAGGGACAGAGAATGGGTGTGGAGGAGCAGACAGAGTCTCCAACACAAGAATCTCAACGATGTCCGCGTTTACCCTGTCTCACCAACAGACCTTCTAGCGGGGCATGAGCACACCTGTGCTTATAGACATGGAAACAGACACCCTGAAGGCTAAGGAACCCCAGAGGCACATTAACAAGTGGTGGAGCCAGGATTTAGATTCATTTCTGCCTGATTCCAGAGCGCCCCACTGCCAGATGGCAGCCAGAGCAGATAGTGGCAGACGTTTTCCTTCCCCATCGCAAGTTATCTTCCTCCCATGCCTGTAATCCCGCCATGATTGATTCACTTGGGTTGAGCATTTCCTTCTCTGTTGTACAGATTCAAATGCAAATATCCCTGTCAGGAGCATCACGTCAATCACTGAACACTTTCAGGGAATCAGTTTCTCAGACCCCTGGTGGGAGAGGCCTGGGAATCTGTGGGGACTGGAGACACTGAGAGGGAACAATGTCAACCCCACAAGGCTAAGGAGCTTCTGGGCCCTTTCATTCCCTTGATTTCACTTAATCCTCACCACTTTCCAAGGTTACTGGCATCAGAAACCCATTTTACAGCTGTGGGACAGTAGCCCAAAGAGATGACACTTTCCTAATGTTAGAGTTTGGCCCGTGATGGGCAGAGCCACACAGCAGAAAGTGCACTGGCTTTAGAAGCCAAAGACTGATGCGATTTGAATCCCAAATCCAGCACTTCACTAACTGCGAAACTACAGGCAAATCTCCTCCCTACCATAGGCATCTGCAAAATGGGGGTCTGAACACTCACCTCTGTGTGGTGAACACTAACCCCTGTTTGTGGTGAGAATGAAATGGGATCATTTTCCGAAGTCCCCAGCACAGTTCATGGCACCCAGAAGCCAAGGCAGAGAAGGTGCAGGGGTCAAAGTCTTGGACTTGGGCAAATCTAGTGCTGAGCTCACCAGCTGGTGAACTCAGCACCAGCTCTGGGTAACCCCAGACAAGTCACCTCACCCCCTCAGAGCCTCATTTGAAAAACAGAGCAATCACATGCCTATCTATAATCATCCGCTTTCCGTTGCTTCTAATGAAATACCTGAATCTGGGTAATTTATAAAGAAAAGGAATTTATTTCTTCATATATAGAGGCTGAGAAGTCCAAGGCTGTGGAGCCAGCCGCATCTGGTGAGTCTTCCTACTGGTGGGGACTGCAGTCTCGGGCGCAGGGTGTCACGTGGAGCAGAGCTGAGTGTACTAATGTGATAGCTCAGATCTCTCTTCCTCTTCTTACACACCCACCAGTTCCCCTCCCGTGATAGCGCATTAATCCATTAATCCATGAATGGATTAATCCATCCATGAGGGCAGAGCCCGGAGGGTCCAATCACCTCTTAAAGGCCCCACCTGTCAATACTGCCACGTTGGGGATTAAGTTTCAACGTGAGTTTTGGATGAGGACATTCAAACCATAGCACTGTCCCAAAGGTTTGTTGCAAGGGTGAAATGAGACAAGGAGTCTGAAAGCGCCTTTTAAAACTGCTCTATAAATGTTAACAATAACAATGGCCAACATCAGCGAGTGTTTCCTGAGCACTTACTGTGTTCCACGCACTGTCTACACCCCTGACGTGTGTGGTTTCACTCAGTTCTCATGGCAGCCTTATGAAGCAGGACTTTTGTATATTATTCCCACCTGCAAATGAGGAAATTGAGTCTCAGAGATGTTAAGTAACTGGCCCAACGTTGCACAGTCAGTAAGCGGCAGAGCCAGGTTTTGAGCCCAAATAAGCAGAGTGAGCTGGGCTCTGGGAGACCCAGACAAATGGAACTGAAGAAGCTTGGAGTCTAGCAGTGGCTCAAACTTTCTAAAAGATCAGAATCACTGATGGAAATTATTTAAAAGGCAAGTTCTGGCCGGGCATGGTGGCTCAGCCTGTAATCCCAGCACAGGCCGAGGCAGGTGGATCATTTGAGGTCAGGAGTTCAAGACCAGACTGGCCAACACGGTGAAACCCCATCTCTACTAAAAATACAATAATTAGCCAGGATGGTGGCACGTGCCTGTAATCCCAGCTACTCGGGAAGCTGAGGCAGGAGAATCGCTTAAACCCAGAAGGCAGAGGTTTCAGTGAGCCGAGATCGCACCACCGCACTGCAGCCTGGGCGACAGAGTGAGACTCTGTCTCAAAAATATAAAAATAAATAAAAGGCAAGTTCTTGGGCTGCACCCACAGAGATGCTGATTCTGTGGGTTCAGGGTGGAGCTCAGCAATCTGCTTTTATAAGAAGCCCCCAAGATGATGCTTGTGCGAGGGGTCAGCTAACCACACAGGGAGGGGCGTGGCAGGTGTCTCAGAAACCGTCGGTAAGGGTTGCTCAGTGAGCGAAGACACAGGGCTCTGGAGGACCCAGAAGGTTCAGGCGGGAGAGAAAGGAGCCCACAGAGGGACCCATCTCTGCCTCTGACCTCCAGGTTTGCCAAGTACTACAAAATGGAGAACGGCAGTGAGTACCGCACCCTCCTGAAGGCTTTCGGCATCCGCTTCGACGTGCTGGTGTACGGGAATGTGAGTCCATGGGCCAGGCAGTTGGGGTGGACAGGGGAGGCAGCCCAGACCACCTCTCGGGTTCTGAAGAAGCTCCTCTGGGGGGCAGCGATCTGCTGCTGGCCAGCTTTGACACCCTCAGCGGGTCACTCTCCCATCGATTCACCTGTGCCGTGAAGGGGAGGGACCTACTGATCCATGAAGAACCCTTCTGGCTCCACGTGCAGCCTCAGGCCTCACCCCCCCCTCCCGTGGGCCCTCTGCCCACTCGCCTTGGTCTTTGTGCACACAGGCTGGCAAGTTCAACATCATCCCCACCATCATCAGCTCTGTGGCGGCCTTTACTTCTGTGGGAGTGGTGAGTTCAGCCCCTCCAGGTTCTGACGGGCCAGCCAGAGTGGGGCCCAGACTGGCACCAGCAGGCAGGGGAGTGACGGGGGCAGCTCTGCCTCTGTCTGGAATGTAAAGTCCCCACCCCCCGCACTTGCCAGGTGCTTCAGTCTCCTTGGCCACCACCCTGCTGCGTCGGCACTAGCTGGAACGTCTCCAGTCATGGAGAGCTCATTACCTCCGGAAGCAGCCTGCCCGTTTTCAGGAGGCTCCACCTGTTACAGAGTTCCTGTTTCTCACCGTGTAGCTGGGGGAGGAGGCTCTGGGTTTCTGCAGACCTGGGATGCCTTAATGAGGAACAGAGCCCAGGTGGCAGGGTGGGCACATAGCCTGCCTTCAGGGACTTCCACCCTGCCACCCCACGCAGTCCTCTCTCTGTGCAGCTGTGGTCTGGGTCACCCCTAGGAGCTGGGAAGGCATCCCTGAAACATCCTGCAAAGTCCCTGGGCATTTTTCTAAGAGGGAACATCAGTCAGGCCTCCCTGGAGGACTGGTCCCCACCCTGGCCTGCAGTCTGCTAATGTGCTAGCTCGGATCTCTCTGCCTCTTCTTATGAAGCCACCAGCTCCCCTCCCATGAGAGCCCGTTAATCCATGAATCCATGAATCCATGAATGGATTAATCCATCCATGAGGGCACAGCCCGCAGGGTCTGATCGCCTCTTAAAGGCCCCACCTGTCAATACGGCCACATTGGGGATTAAGTTTCAGCATGAGTTTGGATGAGGACATTCAAACCATAGCACTATCCCAAAAGTGTGCCGCAAGGGTGAAATGTCCTGCCCACTGTTTAGGCAGCTTGGGGGTGCTGCCGGAGCCCAGCACTTCCTGCCACCCTGATCCCACCCACCCCAGGGCACCCCTTGGAGCCCACCCTGCCTCTCCTCCTCCAGGGAACTGTTCTCTGTGACATCATCTTGCTCAACTTCCTCAAGGGGGCCGATCAATACAAGGCCAAGAAGTTTGAGGAGGTGAGTTGGGGGAGGGACACCCTTGGATGAAAGGGAGAGCGGGCAGGGACTCTCAGTGGCTCCCCTTCTGAGGCCTTCTGAAGGGGAGTTCACCAGCCCTCGATGAATATTTGGGGTCCAGACAAGGGAAGACTTGGCCAAGACTGGGCTCTGCAGAGAATCTTGGGGGTTCTATGGGTCATCTCTGTCAAGGTCCCCACCCCGTCACCTCCCCTCTCCATTTCTGGGGCAGGACTAGGGAAGGCCATGGGATGAAGTGGGGCTCTATTTGCCCTCGGGGTACATAGGAGGGGCCTTGGGATCACACAGACATCCTGGCTCCCCTCATGACCGGGTCATGGACACCCACTGCTGAGTCTGGCAAATGGGGTCACATGGGAGGACCTTGCCCATAGTCAGAACTCAGCAACACCAGTTCTTCTGCCTACAGGTGAATGAGACTACGCTGAAAATCGCCGCTTTGACCAACCCAGTGTACCCCAGCGACCAGACCACGGCGGAGAAGCAGTCCACCGATTCGGGGGCCTTCTCCATAGGCCACTAGGGCCTCTGTCCAGGGACCCACACTCACAAAGGCTCCAGGCCTCCCCACAGGGGACCCTGCCTGAGCAAGGGGGCATGGGAGGGAAGAGGGGCTCTCCTTGCTGCTGCTCACTCCATGAGCACAGCTGGGACCCAGGTGTCTGGGCCTCCCACTGCTCCAGCGGACAGGCAGTGCCCCCTGCTGAGACCCCAATCTCACCTTCACTCCTTGCCTGACCCCATCTGCTTCCTAGGACCCCTGGGGCAGGAGCACCTGAGCCGTCCCTTTCCTAAAGAGTAGAGATGATGATGTAGAACAGATGGCCACAAGGGCCTACCAGGTGCCAGGCACTTTCACACACGTTATCTCATTTAATCCTTAGAGTAATCCTATGAGGTACATACTAGTTTCCCTTGTTTTGAAGATAAACCAGGGCTCAGAGAGACTGAGTCATTTGCCCCAGGCCAGACAGTCAGGAGGTGAGAGAGCTGGGATGTGAACCTCCGTCTGACTAACTCCATCACCTACACCCCATGAGAGAAGAATGAACTCCCGGGGGCCTCAGCCCTGCTGCTTCAGCCGCCTCTGCCCTGGCCATGATTCGGTTAGTAAAGAGTAAGCCCCATGCCTTTCCCAGCAACAAAGGCTGCATTTCAGGGAGACTGGTTAGACAGTGGTGAGGGACCCCGTCTCTGACTTGGGTGGGTCCCAAATTGAGAAGGAAACCGAAGGCATGGCTGTCGGTGAATTTTTCCTCATCACACCCCACAGCTCTCTCTCCAAACCAGGGAAGGGGTCATTCTTGTTCTTCTCTGGGACCCCGCACCCACACACATCTGGCCCCTCACTCTGGGGATTTGATTCCCAGACCTGGGGTCCTGTCGTAGGCTGGGACCCTGTTCCAGGAGTTCAGCAGTCCTCATTTACAACATCGGTGAAAAGGCTCCAGTGAGGCCTGGTACCTTGTGAGCTGCTCAGCTGGGTCGGCCAGGCCTGTCCCCATAGGGTCTTAATAAGGTGCCCCGTTTTCTAAGGTTAGAAGCTAAAGGGGCCTTAGAAACCATCTTATCTAACCCTCTTGCTTACAGATGAGGAAACTGAGGCCAGAAAGGGAAAATGACTGGTTCAGTGCCACAGTTCATGGCCAAAAAGGAACCCACATGTCCTGCCCTTCAGGGAAGGAGGCAAGAACAGGAAGCTGGGTCCATTGACCCAGACATCCTCTATCCCCTTTTCTGGCCTCTCTTACAGTGAGAGGCCCAGAAATTGCCCCAGGGCAGGGCTCTGGGGCAGACCTAGGTTTTGTGAATCCTAAGCATATACAATTTGGGGGCATCTCTTTAGAAAGAATACAAAATTAGGTGTTAGAAGGGGCTCATGCTAGTGAATGAGCCTAAAGAATGTTTTGATAGCTTCACGATAAATCTGCATCTGGCAGTCAGAGTAGGCATGATCATGAGGTCTCAGCAGCACCAGCTCAACTGTAGATGGAAGGCGGCCCCTCAACATAAGGCACAGGAAGTGGGGAAGGGGACAGCTTCAGGAGTAGTTCAGGAGGCTCAAACGGTGGGTACTTGCAAAGGCCTTGCCCAATGACCCCCCACCCCAGGGGGAGAAGGGGTAAGAAGACTGTCTCCACATAAGGCTCAGCACGACTTCCCTCACTCTGCCCTAACCCACAGCCTCATGCCCAGGATGGTAGGGCATATCTCCCCAGGGTCAGCCTTGGGAATTGGGCAGTGCCTGGAGATCTGACCAGGCTATGCTTCTCCAGCAGAGACATCAGTGAAGCCAGCACTATATTCTCCACCTGGGAGTCCCCAGGCATTCCTGGGGAATCCAGTTCTGGGGAGGCTGGGGTCATAGGGATGCTCTCTAATGGGGAGATGGAGACAGTGGTGTCCTGAAGGGACCCTCCCCCCAATCCCTCCCCTTTACCCAGATGGAGGTGGTCCTCCTGCAGGTGCCTCAGCCCCTCTGGAGCCGGCCAGCAAGTGTGTGTGAGCCTGAGGTTGTCCTCCCCATATCTGAACTAAGTTACCGCTTCTGTGTGCTAGATGTAGGGTTAATATCAGTTGTGATAAAAACAGCTACCTTGTCTCTGTTGCATTATGGTTTACTCAGCACAATCACCAACATAATCACATGAATCCTCACACCAACCCTGGTGAGTCTGCTATGTTTTGTTATTAATCCTATTTGATAGAAAAAGAAATTTAAAGTACATGGAAATGAGATCTGGAACCCATGCCCATTCCTAACACTAAATTGCCTCTTTAATCATTCAGCATAAAAGCCAACATTGATTACTTACCATTGGCAGGCAATGGACCAAATGAGTGACAGGGATTGTCTAAGTCACCCCCCACTTTACAGAAGAAGAAACTGATGCATACTAAAATAAAGAAACTGAAATAGGAGAACTGGGATTTGAACCTAGAACTGTATGACTCTGGAGTCTGAGATCCTGACTTCTATGCTCTATCTGTCTGGGGAAAATCCAGAAACTTGTTAGTACCTTTTTTTTTCTATGTGTGCTCATGCAGGTAATACAGGTTTTGCTGCAGTAACAAGTAAAATCGCAAGGTTTAATACAGCAAAGTAGGTCAGACAGCCCCCTCCATCTGGTAGCTGTGCCATCTCAGACACATGGACTCCCAGGTCACTGTTGCAGGGAAAGTGAAAACTGGAGGATCACAGGGGGTAATCCGAAGACCAGGCCTGGAGTGGGTTTACTTCATCTCCGGCCACTTTTCATTGGCGGGATTCAGCAGCGTGCTGCAGAGCCCAGCTTTACTGCAAGGATACTGGGAAAGTCCTAGTTCTCTTGGGTTTCTAGGAAGAGAAAATAGTGAGCACAGCCCTGGCTCTGCTTCGTTATCTCCATTTTAATAGCTTCTCTTCTCCCCCTCCCACCCCACTCCCACCATTTCCACTGATGGTTCCACACATCCTTTCCTTCTGCGTTCCTTCTCACAAAATCTTGTTCTCAGCAAGCTGCCAATCAGCCTTCCAGGGGTATGAATAGATAACATTCTGGGGAATTTCTTCTCTCAAGAGTATTTCCTTTTTAATCAGGGGTTATTCAAGACTGGAAGGCCTTAATCAGCCAAAGGAATGAAAATATAAGAGTTGACGTTGAGGCCTAATGCTAGATCATGCTGGAGATTTGAGGGACATCTTGTCTACCCTGGCCTGCCTCAAGTAAGCTTCAGTCTGGAGGGGTCTTAGCCCCTCTTCTTTCCCCTCCCTACCTCTACCCCTGATTTTGACTGGCAGGATGTTGGGCTGCAATTTGGCTGGATTTGGCTAAAGCCCATTCTCCGTCAGGGAGATAAGTAGAGGTTGATATAAGGGGCTTGGCATTCAGCTGAAATATCAGTCTCCAGAACACATGCACAGAACTTCCTTTATCACCTGTCCTTCCCACTCCCACAGACAGACGACACTGTTCTAGAAGCATAGCATCAAAAATGGGCTTATTTTAAAGCATGACTCTCCAATAGGAAAAAATAAAATGAAAGAATGGGTTTATTCATATAAAAAAAGAAAAGCTCAGTATCACTGATCACTAGAGAAATGCAAATCAAAACTACAATGAGATACCATCTCACCAGTCAGAACGGCTATTACTAAAAAGTCAAAAAATAACAGATGCTGGTGAGGTTGTGGAGAAAGGGGAACACGTACTCCCTTGGTGGGGGTGTAAATTAGTTCAGCCATTGTGGAAAGCAGCGTGGCGATTCCTCAAAGAGCTAAGAGCAGAACTACCACTGGACCCAGCAATCCCATTACTGGGTATATCCCCGGAGGAACATAAGTCATTGTACCATGAAGACACAGGCATGAGAATGTTTACTGCAGCATTATTCACAATAACAAAGACATGGAATCAGCCTAAATGCCCATCAATGACAAATTGGAAAAAGACAGTGTGGTGCATATACACCATGGAATCGATGCAGTCATAAAAAGAACAAAATCATGTCTTTTTTGAGAACATGGGTGGCGCTAAAGACCATTATCCTTAACAAACTACAGCAGGAACAGAAAACCAAATGCCTCATGTTTTCACTTATAAGTAGGAGCTAAAGGATGAGAACTCATGAACACAAAGGAACAATAGACACTAGGGTCTCCTTGAGGGTGGGTAGAAAATATTGGGTAGGCCGGGCGCGGTGGCTCACACCTGTAATCCCAGCACTTTGGGAAGCTGAGGCAGGTGGATCACGAGGTCAGGAGATAGAGACCATCCTGGCTGACACGGTAAAACCCCATCTCTACTAAAAATACAAAACATTAGCCGGGCGTGGTGGCGGACGCCTGTAGTCCCAGCTACTCGGGAGGCTGAGGCAGGAGAATGGCCTGAACCCAGGAGGCAGAGCTTGCAGTGAGCCGAAATCTTGCCACTGCACTCCAGCCTGGGCAACAGAACAAGACTCCGTCTCAAAAAAAAAAAAAAATTGGGTAGTAGGCTTAGTACCTGGGTGATGAAATAATCTGAACAGCAAACAAACCGCCGTAACATGAGTTTACCTATGTAACAAACCTGCACAAGTACCCATGAACCTCAAATAAACTTAAAAAAAAAAAATTGACTATTGTAGTGTGTAGTGTGCAGACCTGTGTGGCGCCCTACTCCCAGGTAGCTCCCCTTCCATGCCCTTGGGGAGAAGGATCACCTGATATGCTGTGATTAGGAGCTGCCTGACCCAATTTCCATCCATGGAAGTTGGACAGACCCCTCTACTGAGGACAGGCCTTTTCATGTAGAGACAGTCCCTGGGGCCCAGCATGGGTAAAGTCCCTGGCAATGCCAGTTCCCATTCTCCTGTTGCCAGAGGCCTGCCCATGTTTAAGGGCCTCATCTCTGTGCTCTCTCCATCACCCAGTTTCCCCAGGGCTCTCTGATCCTGTCCCCTCAACTTTAGCACCCTTAGAAACACAGCACATCCAGGAAAACTTCTTTTCGCTCCTGAAACCACATCCCACCAGATGCTGGTACAGATATACACATACACACAAACATAGTCCTGTATGCAGGTATGCTCAGACACACACTGAGACATATACCCACCCACGTACATACCAGTCAAAGACACAGAGGAAGACACATACACATACACAGAGAGATTCAGGAACATAAGGCTGCAAAGCTTTGCAGACGTATGCACTCACAGGTGTACACAGACATATCCATAAATACACAGAGATATATAAATATATGCACACTCAACATGCAAATTCATACTGACTCACAGATTTATGCACATTTACATATATAAATTCACACATATACAGGTATACACGTACACAAACACTGACTCATGTACACACCATATACGCACACATGTACATGTGCACACAGAGAAATACTTTTGTATTCTCCCTGGGCCCCATGTAGAAATACACTCCCAAGAAGTCTCTCTCTCCTCTCTGCCTCCACCCCCCACAATCCAGGGCTCTCTACCCTCTTGATACCCAGTCTCAGATGTGAGCGTCCTGCTTCATCAACTCTACATCCTTCCTGGAGCCCGGTACCTCATCTGTGACAAAGTTAAGAGCAACAACAATAATCTCTCTCAATGTCCCCAGGGTCTGAGAAAGTGGGTGATGGA